ATATTGAAACCTGACTTTTTAAGAAGATATCCTAATATCTTTATCAACCACATTATAAAAGCAGTTTCATTTTTGCTTTAAACTAACCTCCCTACAGTAAAGCATATGGACTGATCAGGTAAGCTATAGGTAGGTTAACAAACATAAAAAGAAACAGCAAGAAAAAACAATTACTTTGAAAAGAAATATGCCTCAGTGGACAAGTCCCAACCTAAGCCCCAATTCAAACCTGGCAATAAAAAACAACTTAAAACAAAATGTAAAGAAATACACCTGGTTAGGTAAAAAGTTTAAATAATCATGACAAATATATCTCATAATTAACTTATTTTTCCTACTAGATCATAATGTCCTTTAACCCTTTTTAATACTGCAACAACTCAACCGAAAAAGCGTGTGTCCTTTTGTGCCTTTTTCGCGGAAGTTAATACCCAACAGGTTGTCATTATAAGACAGTTTCACCTACAACCAAGTCTCACTGCACAAAGTCCAAGTTACCACAGGGCTCCAATGTATTATATGATGTCCCACGGTTTCATTTACTATATTCTCCAAGTACAAAGGTTCCAAAGAGATTAGTTTCACTTTTCCCTAGATATATTTAGTCCATTAACTAGTATAGTTGGGATATTATTTTTCTTTGGTTTTGTCAGTAGCATGTTTGATATAAATTTTATTAAGTGGTAGTATATGTAACATTGCATTGTGGGTAGTAGTTTCCTGCTTTAGCCTAGCCACATCCTCAGCTGTCATATGAGCATATTTCCCATATTTTCTGCAAGGTCTCGCCTTTTTTTTCTTCTTAGAAAAATGACAGCATTAGAAGATGAATTGTTCTAATAATTATAAGAAATATGAATTGAAATATGAATTATTTATACAACTACATTAAATGTAGTATGGATCACTTCAAAGAACAAAGGGGGGAAAAACGGAATACTCATGATTAAAGTGTTAAAGTCATGTGAAACAATGTGTCACAAGTAAATTAACACAGAGGAAGGAATTAAAAACTATTAAAAGAAAGAAAATCTCTAATCAGAAGCCAATATCATCCAACAAATGAGGTGTACTATATCAGGATAGAACAATGATTTGCCTGGAATGCTAGAGGCTTCAAAGCCACCAGGTCTTCATTAGTGAAGATTAATGTTAGTATCCCCTACTAGAACCTTAAGAATCTACTTTGAGACTTTATAGAAATATCAAAACAGAGAAAGAGAAACCAAAAAAAAAGAAAAAGAAAAGAAAAAAGCCTGGAGGAGCAAGGGAGGAAAGAAAGGGGAAAGAAGGGAGAAGGCGGGGTTGGGGGGGGAGGCGGAGAGAAGTTTAGTATTTTCTGTTTTGGCATCCAATTTCCACATAATTTCACATTTAGACAGATAGCTGCTAATACTAACCAAATGAAGTTGTTCAAACAATTATGGACATGGTGCTGCTTTGGGTTTTTACATAATTTAATTAAAACAAACTGAGGAGAAAAAAAAAAAACAGAAAAAATGCTCTTATTACAATAAGTACCACAAAATAACACCCTGTACAAACACACAAAACCATACACGTGCATGCAGTTGTATACATGAACATATACCCCATTAAAATGAGGAAGTGAAATTAATCTCTCATAATCATAATTTAAAACATTAGTAAAATTATACATACCTTACTAATACAAAAATTTTTCAAATTATCAACATAAGGCCCAATAAATGTTATGTAAAGTTAAACAGCTATACATCAGATCCAAAAAAAACCATCAAAAAAAATGATCACAAACCAAGCTGAAACAAGAGATTAAGAAAGATCCTTACTAAAACCACACAGTGAGAACATTTTAAGCCAAATCAAGATTTCAACAATTTACAAAATTCCTACATAAAACCATTTGCTCCTATTGTTTTCAATTAAAAGAAAAATAGAAGAGTAGCAAATAGAAGTTTAAAACAATCCCTCCCCCCAAAAAACCACACACACATAGAAATGAGCACAAGATTGATACTAATAAAACTACTGTATTCAAATAGGATAATTCAGAAAATAAAAAATAATTCAAAAGTAACAATGAGGATATATGTAGCATTTAAAACAATTTTACAGTATATAATATAAAAAGTTCAACTTAATTTGACAAATTTATTAAATACAAGGTAATGGGGAAGCAAGATAACTGCTTTACTTTCTGAAACTGAGATTTCAAGTTCAAAGCTATATTTCATTTCCATGGCATTAACGTACATAATTTATACAGCCGACTTAAACTTGTTACTTACTTCAACATAGCAAATACTAACATATCCCCAAAAAGGAGAAAGTTTTGAGGATCTATAGTTTCCATTTCTAATTTTAAGCAAAGTATAAATCCATAATCAAGAGCTTTACTTGCAGTAACTTATCTGAGTCAGTCTCTTCATCACATGTAGTATTATTTCTAATGAAACAAACTGTCAGTTATCAAATCTATACCAGTTATCCCTGTTGTTTTAAAATTTTTACCACAAAGTAATATTTGCTCTAAAGAGGATATATTTTAAATTTAGAAAAAAAAATGTGTGGATAATAAGTATACCAACTTTAAAGCACATGACTTCCCTTTCTCCTGCCAGAATTTGATGGACCTCACAGGGAAAGAAAGGGCATAATCAACAATATCTATTGAACTCTTATGTAAGAAGAGTAATCATCCTGACCAAAAAACTATGCACAGGACTGTTACCTGCAGAAAGAGAACAAGCAGTTAAAAGACACACAGATGTTAAAAATTATTCAAATACATATAAGTCAATTTGGAGGGCCAAAGTACACTTAATAAAAAAAAAAAATTAAGGGGCAAATTTTTAGCAAAAAGTTGGGGTTGTAAGATGTCAAAGAATCCTTCTGCAGAAACTAAAAGTCTGTTCTAAAAGAAGAAAAGCATTTACTTACCACACACACTACAACAACTACCTAAATTTTTTCAATTACCTGATTCTATTGTATGTGCATGTGGCACTATGTCTGGAAATTCCACAAATTATATAGACAAATCCCTCCTTTAACTTACTCTGGAAATTAATTCAAAATATAGATCACAGTGGTACACCTTATTTATGACAGAGAATAACTGAATAGCTTACACATTAAATGAAAGTTATTACTTTCCAATGTAAAACCTGTTTACACACACCATGAGGCATAATAAATCTATATTTAAAATAAAACACTAAAATGTATTTTTGGTTTTCTATCACTAAGAGTTTATTATGAAAAAGTTCTGAGCGTTTGAATAATAAAGGATTGAAGCCATTCTCATGCCCAGTATATTTTGGGCACATGAATTTTTTGTAAAGAAACTTATGAATGTGTTTGTACATTTATCTTTATCTAATAAAAACCAAAAGCAAATAATGAACTCTGCTAGGAAGATCAGAAGCAGGAATACTTGGGCTTTAACACCGTTCTTATTGTTTTCCAGCCCCAAACCCATTATACACCCCAAATAACATTTTGTAATTCACTGTCTCCTCCCACCCTCCCAGTCATTTACTTCACGCCACTCCTAGTTACTATCACACTAGGAAGAAGTCTAACATGCAAATTCAGAGTGGCGTGGATAAATGGCAAAAAAAATACCTAGAAAATTGGTCTGTTCGGCTTTATAATTTTTGTTGAAAAACACCCCATCACTCCCAACTGATGAAAACAGGAAGCTCTAGTCATAAATATGAAATTCTCTGCCTATGATATATAATCATCCTAATAAGAAAATGAGTTCTATACATACATGTCCAAAGGGGCAAAAAAGGATAGTTTCCCAAAGATGTTTCCAATTTTCTTCTGAATCAGAATTAGCAAATCAAGACGACTAACATACTCTGTGTGCATTATTCCTTACTACACACAGCATTTTGTAATTTATTTCAAAGCTTCCATTATAAACAAAAAATACAGCTTCTGTTAACCCACTCCATTCTGAGCTTATAAAGTCAATAACACTGAACAATCTAAGTTACAACATAAGAATTTTACTTTATAGATGTATAAGATTTGCTATCAAAGGCTGTTAAAGTTAATATTCAAATAAACGATTTAAAGAATTATATAAAATGAACACATTCCCTTGAAAAATAAAAATTACAAGCATTAAAAAAAAAACTAAGATTCATCAATAAAGTATGTCAAAATTCTTGCCATTCGCTTTTATAAGATCCTCAAACTGGTCATGAGGCAAACGTATGCATAATACAAAAGATACTAACTACATTAAATCTTTATTGCAGGAGCTGGCATCTAATATTGATCATACATTAACTAGACAGACATGATTTAGTATTTGTAAAGGAATCTCCAGACTGACACTTTCATGACAGCCAATTACAGTCAAGCCCAGCAAGCAGTTTGCAACCAGACCTTAAGAACGGTAAACTTTTTTACAATGAGTTACAGATTCACAAGTTTAAGAAGACAAGAAAAAGAAAAACAGAACGACTCCAATCACCCAGCAAATATGAAGCAGACCCCAGAATGTGATACAATCCAAAGATGTAAATTATTGTAAATCATCACTGTTGTTCAGAATTTCACACAGCCTCTTGAGCCAATTTTGTTCTTTTCCACAGACACAATAATGAACTAAATAAAAGGAGGCAAAAAAAAAAAAAAAGTGGGAGTCAGGGAATAGAAAGGAAAACCTTAACTGCAGAGTTCTGCTCTACAAATGCTTAACCTTACAGGAGTTTGGGCTCCTTCAGCATTTGTATTCTATCCAAATCCTCATGAGTCACAAAAATTAAAAAGCTATATCCTTCTGGATGCCAGGAAGGGCCTTACCACAAGCCTTTTGTCAGAGAGAGAGAGACAGTGAAAGAGAGAGAGCAAGAGCAAGGGGGGAAAAGCCACAGTGGTAGGCAGTCCCACTTTACTTTGAGTACTGTGAGGTCACAAACCACATGATTCTGTCTCTCCAGTAATAGTGCTTGCAAAAAAAAGGAGTTTTAAAGCTTTTGCTTTTTTGGATTGTGTGAATGCTTCATTCGCCTCACAAACAACCACAGAACCACAAGTGCGGTGCAAACTTTCTCCAGGAGGACAGCAAGAAGTCTCTGGTTTTTAAATGGTTAATCTCCGCAGGTCACTACCAGCCACCGAGACCAACAGAGTCAGTGAGTGCTCTCTAACCACAGTCTATGCAGTAATAGTAGGTCCTTCAAATATTTGCTCATTCTCTTTTTGTTTTGTTTCCTTGCTTTTCACATGTTACCAGCTACATAATTTCTTGACAGAAAAAAATAAATATAAAGTCTATGTACTCCAGGCATACTGTAAAACTAAAACAAGGTTTGGGTATGGTCTGTATTTTCAGTTTAAGGCTGCAAGCAGAATTTACAACAGAGGGTACAAGTTCTATCTGAAAAAAAAAGGAGGGACTATGGCATCAAACAGCCTCTTCAGCACAGTGACACCATGTCAGCAAAACTTCTTTTGGGGTAAGTGTTATATTTTAAAATCCTATAAGAGATGAACCTGTTAAACAAAAAGGTATGTTTCTTGGATAAACTGCTAGCTTTTCCGGGTAATGTTGTAGTATACTAAATATTATGATAATAATGCTATTTTGTTGCACTAAAAACTGAAAAATGAAATTGCTGTACATATTTGCATTTGGCATCTGTTAACTTATCTACTTCTCGGAGTAATGACTTGAAATAGAAAAAATTACATTATCTCACATTAGTCAAAATGTTTTCTAGAGCTGTAGAAATGAGGTAAAAACTGTAAAAGAAAGTTTAATATTCTCATTAACCCTCACTGCAATAAAATGAGACACTAATCAAAGTATTACGAAGTATCCACCCTGGCAGCTCTCAATATTTGAGCAAACTTCAAAAAGGAAGCAATTTTACAAAATAACAGACCACAGAATTATCTCGACATTATGCTCTACCATTATGCTCTACTGCAGAAATAAACCTGCAGTACAGTTAACATTTTACCCAGATCAACTATAAGAAATCTATTTGTAATTTTAAACTGCATCATAAGATAGGTGCACAAGCTTGTTTCTAAACAACTTTATATAATTGAAGTATATATTCATATGTAAAATTATAAGCATGTAATAGCCATTTTTAAAAGATCTTTATAGTTACCCAGGACATCCAGGATATTAAAAAGTTCACAGAAGTCTTTAAAAACTTATATGTAATTATATTTTTCTATGTAATTTTAATTTTACATGTACACACTATTATCCATATGGAAAACTTTTTATAAACACACGGCAAACACTGAAATGTCTAGGATTCTTTTAATCATATTCTTGGACCTACCAAAATGAATACCATTTAGTCTCATGAAAAATAAAACTCCGTAAGGATACCCTGCATGATTTTAAAAAGCCATACCTATTAAATCATGCTGAACTTTGAAAGAAAACAGGCATAATATAGTCCCTTAATATTCAATTTCAAATTAGTGTTGATATACAAAAGTAAACTACTTCAATATTCATCAGCTGACACAATATTATAGTAAAATATCTAAACACTTACAAGATTTTCTTTATGATGTCCAACATGTCCCAACTACAAGGCAAGTTTATAAAATTTTCCTTTATCCTTTAAAATAAATCCTTTTGCTGAGTATACCTGTATTAACTTTGCTTTATAACTTACAACTAACGATTGGAGTTTCCTTTACTCCTCCTACTTCACACATTTTAACTGGCTACCAGAGGATCAGTCTTAGTTTAGGTCAAAGAGAAATAATTAAACCTGAAGGAGAAAAAGGGTTTCTCTTAAAAAGGTAAGGAAATGCAGTTTGTATTTTACCAAAAAAATGTAAAATTGCTGTAGTGACTCCCTCAATAGTTGGAAGTAGGCCCCCTCAGTTACAACACACATGATATAATAATCACAGATTATTTTTTTGAAATGTAATGGTAGGTAATAAACATTACTCTAAAAATTTCTGCATTAAAGAAGCAGAACATATATACAACTAGGCTGCATTACAGCCCTTATTATAATTACCGCTTACACATGGTAACTTTTGCAGTTCCTACATAAGAGATAAGGGGGAAAAATGGTTAAAACTATTGTTATATGAAGGAATAACTTGAAACAGCCATCTCAAGCAGTTAACTTATTCTTTCACAATATTACTGTTTGAAAAGCAATACATTTTTCTAACCAGATGGAGAGTAACACAAGTTTCAAAGACTTCTTCAGCATTAGAAGCAAAGACATTAATACTGTCACAAATACTATGTTAAAATGCTCTTTATCCTGTCTTACGAGGGGTCTTATATTTCTGTGACAACCTTAATAACTATTTCTACAGTAAAATTTCTAAAACCTGACCAAGTTTCTAAACAAGGCATAATAGTGAGCTAAACAGATAAAAATCATCTATCGCATGTCATATATTTTTAGACATCGTAACTAATTCTTCCTCTTCTAAAAACTGGGATTTAGTCTCTCCCACCCCCAAATAGTACTTTAGCACCTGGAGGACAATTTAAGATGAACCCACTACACCAAACTAATTATAGGTACATAGTGAACATTATGTATAGGTTGTCATCACACTGCAAACATTTCCCCAGCCCATAATCTATCTGAAGTCTAAAACCTCACTTCAGGCCTTAAATTCTCATAAATGATTATCAAAACAACCTAATGAAAAATCAAAGATATGTGCTCCAACACTGTAAAATAATCTTTTTGAAGTTTAGGTTTATCCTAGGTGAATGACAAAACACACGCTGACCAATTGGCTCACCTCAATATGAGTGAAAAGTGTGTGTGTGAGAGAGAGACAAAGAGACAGAGACAGAAAGATTTTCAGTGTCTTTGCTCTCTCAGCACACCATTTACCTTGAATTAAACAAGAATTTTTCAGTCTGCATTATTCAAAATCTACCCATTGTTTATGATAAATAAAGTTTGTTGAAAACGACAGATCTGACTCATGGAGTATCTTACAATTAAGAACTTAATTATGACAATATATCAACTGATTAAATTTCTAAAGAAAGCCTTTGTAACTGACCATAGTAACTGAACATGATGTGTAAACACTGATTTCCAAAATAATAGCTGTGTTTCATATCAATAACTTTATAGTTTCAAGATCTAATAATGTTGAAGTGTTATAACTTGCTTCTAATACCTAACTTCCAAAATCCAGGGAGATGATTTAAAAAGTCAAGAACATACACAGAAGGCCACTCCAACATATATTAAAAGTTAAAAATGTCAATGCAATTCCCAAAGACTCATAATATAAATTATTTTAAATTATAATAAGTAGGGGCGCCTGGGTGGCTCAGATGGTTAAGCGTCTGCCTTCGACTCAGGTCATGATCCCAGGGTCCTGGGATCGAGTCCCACATCGGGCTCCCTGCTAGGCGGGGAGCCTGCTTCTCCCTCTGCCTCTGCCTCTCTCTCTCTCTCTCTGACTCTCATGAATAAATAAATAAAACATTTAAAAAAAATTATAATAAGCAATCCTAATTTTACATGAATAACTGTTAAGGATTTCACTTTTAAATTTTAAAAATATTTTAAAATGCTAAAGATTTAAAAGAAATCACAGAAAAATATTTTGTTAGTCTGGATGAACTTCCCGATAGTCTCCAAATCACAAGGAAGTCATGAAATATACATGATAACATTATGGTACATTTTAGTTATTTTAAAAGAACAAAAAAATTAATCTATTCAATTACACCCTTCAAACTAATCACTGATAGTTTGACTTGTTTAAATCAGTCATGCTGAAGTTAAATTCAGTAAGATAGAAATGTTCCAGTTTGTTAAAAGAACACTGAAATATTTGATGGTTAAATAAACTGCAGAGGGAGGAAAAAACTAACTCATTGAAGGCACTAGATTTTATCAAACACACAGAATTAATCTTTATTGAATAGAACCATTCACAAATCAAAACTCAGTGTACTTCAATACTTTCAAGCAGCGCTAATCAATTACAAACCTTTTCTAGTGCTTCAAAACTCATGTGCTTTCAATTTTATACACTGGTGGTCTTCAAGTACTGTATTGGGGCTGAGTTAAGACATTCTGTATCACAACTTTTTTTTCAACAAATATCCATCTAGAGGGATTTTTTTTCCTCTCTAGAGCTGCTCACATGAAAACTGTGGTAATATTTTTATACTGTACTTCTTTGTTGAAGCTAAAGGTTAGGGGTTACCTAAATACCTCAACTGTATATACAAAAAAGGGAAAAGGTAAGTATTCATATAAAAAAATCCAATGGGACTGGATTATTTATTTTTGCATTTCCTATGATTAATGATGCACCCGTACCTACTCGAAAACTGATGGCAAAACAGGGTAACATCTCAAATTCCTGTCCAAAGCATACAAATATCAACCTTCCATGCTGTTCTAACCCTTGTTCCAAGAGACTAAAATGTGACAACCCTAAGTCAATAGTGAGGTCATGCAAAAGCTCCTCAAAAGCATTAAGATTGCAAATGCTATTACCTAACAAAAGACTTTAACACCGAGGGTTCACTGGAACAGCCTACTTCTACAGTGTCTCTTTAAAAACATCACACATATGGTCAAATAGACAAATACTTTCAATATGAAAAAATCCTTCCTGCAAATAATAAAATTGTGAATGTGACAAAGCATGACTGTTTTTTCTAGTCATTTACTATTCAAGACTTATTAGAGGGGTGCTAGTAAAACCAATGCTAATTTAGGCAGAGACATCCCAATAGGTTACCTGAATGCATTATTTTTTTCTCTTATGCCAATGAATTCCTCTGAAAAAAACTACCCCCCCAAAAAATCTATCCCTGAACTCCAATAATAAGGGTAACAATAAACCTCAATAATCAGTATTTTCTAAAGAGCAAAATATTCTAAGCTGTCTCAAGTATAAGGAAATTCCTCATGAAATCTAAAATGTTTACTATTTTAAAACAAATATTTAGAAAAGGAAGTCTCACACAATGAAAATATACACCTTAATACAATATACTGCCATTTCAAAGGTTATGAATTCAGTGGATATGTGTTTTGATTAATGTGTTACAATTCAAAAAAATAATGGGGAAATTCTATACCTTATTTCAAAGGGAGTTTCCTTATAATTGTCACCACAGTTGACCACAAGCTTTTGTCCATTCAACAGCAAACATAAAACAGGCTATACATTCCCATATAACTTTAAAAGATCCGTATAAAAACTGACATTAAATTTTCTTTTATTACAATGTATGTAATATCTTCATCTTACGCTGAATTCTTAGGAATTTTCTCCCCTTTATACTATTTTTTAAGAACACAGGATTCAGTCAAGGTTTGGAACAGTATTAGATGGATGTAATTAACACCATATCAAACATTTCAGGTGCTTGTTATTATTGAACAGGATGTTAACTTTAGAACATTTTTTTCATAAATATGCTTTGACTAGAAAATAAAAACCCCATTATTTACCAGCATAT